AGTAAGTAGTAGTGAGTGGTAGTAAGTAGTATAGTAGTAGTAGTAGTAGTAGTAGTAGTAGTCGTAGTAGTAGTAGTAGTAGTGGTAGTAGTAGTAGTAGTAGTCGTAGTAGTAGTAGTAGTAGTAGTAGTAGTAGTAGTAGTAGTAGTAGTAGTAGTAGTCGTAGTAGTAGTAGTAGTAGTGGTAGTAGTAGTAGTAGTAGTAGTAGTAGTAGTAGTAGTAGTAGTAATAATAATAGAAGTAGTAGCAGCTGTGGGTGTGGGCCCCTTGGAGATGCCGGCTGGCTTCAAGATGTCCCCAAGCCAGTTTGGGCAGCCTTAGAGCCCAGACCTGGGTCATACCTTCTCGCATCCAGTATCGTGCGCTAGAAGTGTTCAATTGAGTGCCTTGTCAAAGAAGGGGCTTTCACGTGAACGGAAGGCCCATGCGGTGCTGGTCAATGAAGGGGGCTGTTCTTGTAGCGAAAGGGAAAGCTTGCAGGGATGGGTGAGGACGCGACTTGGGACGGGAGGGTGCGTAGCAACATTGCGGATGCAGCTTGGGTTTGCCCTTGTCCTCATCGTTCTCCTCCTCCTTTTTCCTCCTCCTCCTCCTCCTCCTCCTCCTCCTCTTTCCTCCTCCTCCACCTCCCCGTCTCCCCCCCTGGGGGCTGCTCCGCCCCCCACCCCCCGCCGCGAGCGCCCTCCCGCCCCCCGCGCCCCCCGCAGGCGGCCAAGTAAAGCCCGCGACCAGCGTCCGGCCGCCGCCAGCGTGGCCCAGCCGCGCTGCGCTGCGCCACCTCGCGCCCCTCGCTTCCTCCCATCGTCGTGGCAAGCAATCGCGACAGAGGTTTTTTTCGAAGATGAAAATGAAACAATGGCAGCAGCATTGATTTTCAATGCTCTGCGCGGACCTCCAACAGTTTAATGTTTGTGCCGTTTTTCGTTCCTCTGTTCGAGGGAAGACGCACGGCGACCATGACCAAAATGTCGCGGGAACTCGTCGACGCCGATCTTGGTCACGATCCATGCTTGCGCTCGCCGACTCGCGAGGGTGATCCTCGAATTGGCGCCGACCAAGATAGACGGTGATCGAAATTGGCACCGTCGTTTCCGCGTTCAGGCTTGGTCATAGTCTCCGTTGTTTGCCCTCCAATGTTTGTCTGCCGAGATCTTGAGTGTGTGTTCTGGGCTGTCGCACGGTGACCGCGCGTCACCGCCTCGTCGCCGCCCCGTGCGTTGGCTGGGTGTTCCGGGTTCTTGCCTGGTGGCCACCCGTAGCCGCCTCATCCCCGCCCCGCGTACATTCTTGGTGCGGTAAAGGATTCGAATCGACCTCCAGGGATCCTCCAGGGATTATCGGATCTCCCCCACATGCAATGCTTTCATGTTGTAACTTTGCATGATGGTCCACCTGAATGTTAACAGCATGCTAGCCAGTCCGGGTATCGACCTCCTCACCTCGCTCTTGTCAAGCAATACGTGCGGTGCACATGTGATGACCTAAGATGTGCTTGCAATAGTTTCTTGCGAACGTGCAGTCGTGGACATTTGCGCGCCGCCGCATGTGCATGCCAATATATTTGAAACCCATTTTGATTGGCGACCATTTCATGACACTCTAAAAGTTCCCCCAAACCATTAGTTTAAGATTTGTTGTCCAAGCGCCTGGGACATTTTTGTGCGCGCGCACTCGCTGAAATCATAAGGACGCTGCAGGCTTTCTTTCATTCGGCCAGATGAGACCATGCAGGCCGCACTCGCGCGCATGCCGAAATCATTCACAAATCATCGCGTCCCCGCCAACTCTGTCAAATACTGCCATGCGTGCCACATGCGGGCGTCCCCGCGTTCATGTCGAATTCGTAGCGAAACCACCGTGTTCTTTCTCCTCATTTCAAGCACAGATTTTCAAGCACATGCGACAAGACTTTCAGGGTTTCTGCGCGCGCACTTCCTTATGAACCTCAACAGCACCACCGTCGTCATCATCAGCAGCTTCATACTTGCCATCGTCATCGTCGTCGTCACCATCATCACCACCACTATCATCATTGTCATCAGCACTTCTACCGTCGTCATCATTATCGTGATGAACATTGTCATCGTCATCGTCTCTGGCGTCCCCGTCGTCATCACCGCCACCACCACCATCATCATCACTATCATCACCATTATCATCATCATCATCATCATCATCATCATCATCATCATCATCATCATCATCATCATCATCATCACCGTCGTCTTTGTCGCCGATATTGTCACAATCATCATTTGCAAGACCGAGTCATGGATTGCACGATAAGGATCCTCGGGTCATTGCGCTAGTCCAGCTATGCCAGGGAATTGCATGTGTATGGGCGGGCTAGTTTTTCGGGCAGTGGAGTTGTCGACTTCAAGATATTCAAAATTAGTTCCCACAGATGGCCTTACGAATATTCCCCTCTCACAAGAATAGTAGGATCCACCCCTCTCCCGAGCCCGGACTCATTGAGCCCCCTTTGGGACACCGTATTTTACATATGATTCTGCCGCGTTTCTCCATTTCCATATCAACCCATACCTTCCCAGCCCAAGGAGTTATTGACCCCCCTATCCCTGTCAAAAGTGCCATGCAAGCGCGGTCGTTTACCTTGGAAGATCGTTGTTGAAGAATTGTTTGCAGGAAGTGGCACAACGTCAACACGCGCGCGCGCATTTCGAAAGCATACCAAGCACAGTAGTGTTTGAAGCTTTTAAAATAAAACCGAACAACATTAGGTCTGTCATTTGAAATCTCCCAGACCTTCCACCTGCGCGCATTGTCTGAAACCACAGGTAAGCCATATGAGTTTAGCAATGCCGTCCAGCACCGGCATTCCTATCTCACCACGCGGGTCATCCACCTTGATCCAGCATGCGCCCAGTGCCCGAATCCGTGTCAAGTAAGACCATGCGGGCCACACGCGCGCGCCGTCACGTGCGCGTGTCTAAAACCTTACGCCACTACTGGCTTTGGCAGCATTTCAGGATAGAGCCATTCAAACACATGAGAGACACCAAGCGTTTGTCAACAAACAGACTGCCAGGTTTTTTTGAATCTCTGCGCGCGCGCACTTCTCACCATCACCCCCATCAGCGCCATCGCATCAACGCCGTTATCGTCGTTATCAATCGCCGCCAGTGCCACCCACCAGCATCAATCAATCACCTTCACCACCGACACATGGTCATCATCATCGTCATCGTCGTTACCAGAATTGGCGCCGTCACTGGCCTTGCGGTCGTCATCGTCATCGTCGCCACCACCGTTGCCGGCGTCATCTTGACACCGCGTGCCGAACCACCGACCCACACAGAGGGCGCCCGCGCGCCAACGCGGTCTCTTAGACGCGCTTGGAAGTTCCCACTAGCATTCGCCATCGCGGCCGCATCAATTGTGCCCCACCAGCTTTCCGTTCTGCGCGCGAGTTTGCGCGCGCAAGCGCGGCCGCAGATATGTGCCAGCCAGTGCCGGGGGCATCTTCAATCCTGGCCGCAACGCACGGTACGGGTGGGAGTGTTGGATGTTTTCGCGAGCAGTGGAGTTGACATGTCACTACTTACAGGGTAGTTACACCACATCGATTGCGCCACATAGCGTGCACTACAGAGGTTGCACCAACATACCTTGCACCCTTCAGCTCGTGACGCTTGGATTTCCATTTCTCAAGACAAGACAAGGCTCTATCTTCCGACTTTTTCCTCACCCCCTGGGGCATTTCAAAGTACATGTGATTTTGCCTCATGATTAGTTTGGCACATGGGGTCATACCATCCCAGGTGGTGCACTTATCGCCCCCGTCATCCCTTTCAAAGCAGACTATGTGCGCACATTTGAAAATGAATGTTCAAACGCCCCTGGCAGCACATTGGGCGCAGCCCACACGCGCGCGTCGTCGCGTGTGCATGTCGAAATCCTGCGAACATCTGGGGTTTCGTAGGGGTCTCAAGAGCGATGCTCTCGAAACTATATAAACAACCAGTGGTGTTTCATTTCCATTTTCCAAACTACTATACATGCGTGTGTGCTCTTGTGGATTCTGTGGAAACCAAAAGTTTGCAACATTGTCTTCAAATGAGACCACGCGGGCCTCTCGCGCGCGCATGTCGAATCATTCGAACGCTCTTGCGCCCTTGCGTGGGGCGCACGATCCCCCGGTCAAATCCTTCCATGCGGGCAACTTGCGCGCGTCGGTCGCGCGCGCATGTCGAACATTTCACCAGCGACACCTGGACGCCATCACGGTTATCGGCATGACCAGCATCGGCGCCGTCATTGGCCTTACTGTCGTCATCGTCATCATCGTCACCACCCTCGCTACTGTCATCATCGCTGCCGCTATTTCCGTGGTCGCCATGATACCACGCCCGCCCGAGTCACCGACCCGCGCTGCATTGCCCGTCCGCCAGCGCGGCCTGTGAAACGCGCAGGCGGGTCCCCATCGGTCAGCGCCGCCGTGGCCGCGTCGGTTGTGCCAAGCTAGCTGGGCGCTCTGCGCGCGAGCTTGCGCGCGCCAGCGTGGCCGCAGAGATGCGCCAGTGAGTGCCAAGCAGTCCTTGCACTTGCCGCCGCATGGGTTTTGAGGGTAGGATGGGTGCTCGAGAGGTGGCGTTGACAACTTCAAGTTCTGCCAGGTGGATCGCGCCACATAGCTTGCACCACGTAGCTCTCGTAACGCAGACTGTGCCCCCGTAGCATGCATCGCGCAGCTTTCACAACATAGGTGCATTCCGTACTCTGCACCACATAGCGCGCACATCGAAAGTGCAACAGCCCACTGTTCGGGGTACACGCTGGTAAACACTTACACAATGCCGGATCTTGAGGTCCTGCTGCTTCCCCCTGCTCCCACCTCCCTGCTGTCCCGTAGGATCGATTATAAGGCAGCGCTAGACCATCACCGCCGCGCGTCGGTAAGAGCGGAGAAACGTGAAAGAGCAGAGTCATGCGGTTCTCTCTTCGATGCCCGTCCTCGACATCGCATGTCCCATCGCTTG